GAAAGAAAGATCAAAGATAAAATAAAGCAGAGCATATGAGCCAGGCCTGGCGGTGCAGGACTCCAATCCCAGCACCTGGGAGGCCCAGGCAGGTGGAGGTCAAGGCCAGCATGGTCTACACAGAGAGTTCCAAGACAGCCAGTGTTCCATGGTGAGATCCTGTCTCAGAACAAAATAAAATAAAAACCGGAGGGTATCCCACTACATTAAGTTTTTGTTTAATTGACGGCATTTTTTCTTTCTGGTTACTCATAAAATAATAATGTGTCTTTTGGGGGAAAGAGGTTTTTCACAACAGGGTTTCTCTGTGTAGCCCTGGCTGTCCTCAAACTCAGAGATCTATTATGTGTCTTAAAGAATGTTCTTCACAGCACTTGGGAGGCAGGAGCAGGCAGATCTTTGTGAGTTCATGGCCATCCCAGTCTACATAGTGAGTTCCAGGCCAGAGCTACATGGTGAGACACTATCCACCGTACACTGTCTATATCCACTACCTGGGCAAAAATGCAATTTAGATATGAAATCTTTGTTATCCTACTGCTCTGAGAGGTTAAAAAGAACTTTCTTGTACAAATTTTAAGCTCTTCTGTCTCATCAACTGCCAGAGCAAATGGCATCTTGCCAATGGCACTTCTCTCCTTAGCTGGCCCTCTCTCTGCCTGGAATGGTCTTCTGTGTGGCTGCCTTGGTCCCTTCTAGGTGACTGTTTGAACATTTCCTATCACAGAGGGAACATAGTTATTATCTAACACGCTGCCTACTTTAAACACTTGCTTACTTCGCAGGATTCCACAATTTCCTCATGAAGTTGTGTAGAAAACAAGAGACTGTTAATGTCTAATGTCATAGTTCCCTGACTGCTAAGCCGACGATTCTCACTGAAGGCAGAATCGCTTCGATCAGCGGCACTTGCAGGAGTCTTCTGGAAGCATGGGGCAGAGGGGTTGGGCTGAAGCTATGGCGGAGGGTCCACTGCTAGGCTGAAGCAGTTTCCTAGTTAGAGTGCACTCTAAGAACATCACCAAGAGCCCTTTGTTGCTGTGCTAAAGAGTTCAGAAAAAAAAAAAACAACCACTCCACACCCCTTCTACTTATCTCAGAAAAACTTGGTTCTTTGGTCTAAGACTGGAACTCAAGTATGGAAGACAAAATAATGGCATCTTTTAAAAACGTCACATCCAGGGACTGGAGACATGGCTCAATGGTCAAGAACAAATGACGCTTTGGCAAAGGACGTGGGTTCAGTTCCCAGCATCTACAGGTGGCTCACAACCATCTCAAACTCCAGTTCCAGAGGATCTGATGCCCTCTTCTGACCTCCAAGGACACAGCGGCACACACACATACATGCAGACAAAACACTCATACACATAAAATAAATAAATCTAAATTAATTACATAAAGTCACGGTACCCTGATTTTGGGACAAACCCTGCAGCACATGGCTATGCTGGGTAGTTGTTGTTGTTTTGTTGTTGTTTGTTTGTTTTGGTTTTGTTTTTTTGGTCACGATGACAGAAGCCAGGGTAATCTGGAGAAAAGGAACTGAGAAAATATCTTTTTTTCACAGATTGGCCTGTGAGGATTTTCTTTATGACAACTGATGTGTGAGGGTCAACCCTATTATGGGTGGTACCATCCTGGGCTGGTGGTCCTGGGTTCTGTAAGAAAGCAGGCAGAGCAAGCCATGGGGAGCAAGCCAGTGAGCAGCATCCCTTAATGGCTTCCCCTTTAGTTTTTGTCTCCACGCCCCTGCCTTGAGTTCAGCCCTGATTTCCCTTCGGGATGGGCTCTACTGTGTAAGCTAAAAAACTATGCTTTTGGTCATGCTTCTCAGTGGCCCCACATGGCAAAAGGGACTGCACAGATGTAAGGTTATCCTAGATTATCTGGCTGGCCCAGAGTTATCACAAAGCTCTTCCTAAGAGAAAGAGCGGGTAGGAGTAAAAGGAGATGTGACAATGAGGCCAGACATAAGGGTATCTAGAGACACTCTGTTACTGACTTTGAAAATGAGGTGTGTCTAGAAGCAAGAAAGTAGGAAGTCTCCAGAAAAAATGAGGTAACACTCTCCACACTGAGTCTCCAAAAGGGATACTACCCTGATTCTAGGATCCTGCCTTACAGAACATAAAGACATACTGTGCTAATGTTAGTCACTATGGGAAAGCCAGAGGAAATGAATGCCATGATGTACATGGTTATGGACACCACATAAAGGAACAGGCACAGGCCCTGGCCTGGATGTGAAGATTCAGTCACTGTTTGTGGATGGAATGTTGGCAGCCCTAGGCCAAGTGGCCCTTTGGCAAGGGATAAAGCGATAACCTCTCACAAGGCTGGATAAGGATAGGGAAAGAAACAAGATAGCCTTGAGGTCTTGAAGGAAGGCAGTGAACCATGAGTTCCTAGGAAGCGGAGTGGTCTACCATTACCAACGAACAACATAGGCTAAGTTCATAACCTTCCAGTGCCTCCTATCTGGAAGTCAGGGTGAGGGCTCAGACCCAAATGGGTCTGGGAGACTGTGATTATGCCATGGACCCATATCTTTAAATCCAAGGAGCTCACTGGCAGAGGCAGGTCTTGTAATGACCTTCCTGAGAAGATCACCCTGCAGGGTGAGGTGCAATGCTCTGCAATGCGCCAGCCCCACTATCCTTTAGCACCTCCAGAGCCACAAAGTCAGAGCAATGACTGCCTTGGAGAGATCACAAGATCACAGCAGGAGGAGCAGAAGTCTGAAGGTGACAAGATCTGCTCCATTACCTTTGTACTATGGGGTCAGGAACCCAGAAAAAGAGCCCATGTGTAGCCAGCATTTGGAAGAAGACTGGCCAGGCTGCAGAGGAAGATGATCAGGAAACCTCCAGCCCTCCCCTGCAGCCTGCAGAAGCTCCTTCCTGCTTCTGCAGGCTGCAGGGGAGGGCTGGAGGTTTCCTGATCATCCTTCCTGCCAGGCTATGAGCAAGCTTTAACTCCTGACTCCAGATTAAACCTGATCTCTGCTTCTGTGACTACAATTCTTCCTCTACTATGACCTCTTTCCCTCCCTACAAAGCCCTGTGATAATAATTGCCCCTCCCAGATGATCCAGGATAATATTCTTGATCACTTTACCATTTGGGTGACATTCACAGGTTCTAGGCCTAGGACGAGAATCTTTTTGGAATGTCATGTGGGAATATATGTGCAGCTGTGTGTGGAATGGATTCTGAGGGTACCTGATGAGCACATGAGGAAAATACTGACATTTCTATGTGGACAAAGTTCACTGCCACAACTGCACCCAGCAGAGACTCTGGATTTAATGTCTGAATGGTGAGGAGGGTTCCAATAGTGAGCCCAACTATCTCAGCAAAATCTGGACTTGACAGTGACCTAGCTCAGCTGCAAGGTATTCAAAACTAAGGGGCCTGGAATAGTAATGCCAATTTGCCATATGAGATTTTCTCTCTCTCTCTCTGCTTATATCATAAAACTGCATCTCCAACTGGCATAATACTGTTAGCACCAAAGATGGCCGGTGGGGCCAGTGGGAGTCATGGGATCTCAGATGACAATCTATCCCAGGAGAGGAAACACACTTATCCACAATCACACCTCGACATTTACAAAAACCTCTCTTTGTGACTGATTTTTATTGTTCTTATCTTATTTGCTTATTTTGTGTGTGGGCAGAGGACACCTTGCAGAGGTCCATTCTTTTCTTCCACCATTGTGGGTCCAGGCACTAGAAGCAGAGTGTCAGGCTTGGTGGCCAGTTTCTCCACCCACTGTGCCATCTGGTCAGCCTTCAGTGGCTGGTATTAGAAGCAGATAAAATTAGCCAGAGTGAGGAAAGGTTGAGGAAGAGATAACAAGTATGACCAGCCTCAAGAGCCCAAAACCACACAGAGCGTATCCAATGCAATTCAGCTAGAAAACATAACAAGAGACAACCCATCCCAAAGTGTAACTATAAAATATTGTGAATTAAATAAAATACGTTAAGTTGGGCATGGCTTTAATCCCAACAACGTGTGTGAGTACCCAGAGGCAATAAGTTAGATTCTGTAACCCCCCCCACACACACACACACGAAAAGAAAAGAAGAGAAGAGAAAAGAAAGGAAAAGAAAAGAAAAAAGGAGAATGTAGGCAGAGGTACTGGAGGGAGCCACCTTTACCGCCCCAGCTCTGGGAAGTTGTTGGGTCCATGCTGCCACTGAGTAGCCCACCGCCTGCTGCTCATGACCCCATGTGAGTGTTCGGCAGCACAGCCTCCTGAAAGAACTGCACCGGGTTAGCCGCTAGCACGAAGGAAGCTGCCTCTTCAACGGGCTGCGCTTCTTTCTGTTTGCCATTGGTATCAGGCCTTGCCTAACCTCTACCTATCCAGCGACTGGCCAGGCAGCTTCTTTATTAAACCAGTCACAGTGGCACATATTCATACAGTGTAAAGGAATATTCCAGATTTGCCTGTCAGGTATACTTTGGCCTGTGGGCCAAAGTTGGATGCCCTGACATTATAGAAGAACTGTGGGCGAACGTCCAGGCAGCCAGCTGTTTCTGTCACCTCTTAATTTTGGAAGTCGCTTGCTATGCACTTCCTATTTACTCAGGTAATATTATATTCATCTCAGGTCTTTGCTGGGGTTAAAGACTAGATAGTTACAATTTCAGTTCTCCCTAATCATGGTAGAAAGTCAATTAGGTATGAAACACTGGACTCCTCAGGGGAGGACAGTTGATGTAGTACTTTCTCTGTTTTGCCAAATACAAATCAACTGGACATTGCAACTGTAATTCTTACTTGGTAACAGTTATTGTATATAATTTTATTATGTTGAAGTTAAAACCTTCCTTTTTAATTAGACAAAAAGGGGGAAGTATGGAATATTTATATAGTGTGAACATGTGTCACTGTGACTGAATTAATAAAGGGGCTGACTCGACAATATCTAGACAGGTAGAAGATAGGCAGGACTTGCAAAAAAAAAAAAAAGAGCTTGAAGAGGAGGAGGAGTCTTTCAGAATAGGAAGGAGTCATGGAGAGGAGATGAACTTTATTGAGAAACAGTATTGATCCACATGGCAGAGCATGGGTAAGAAATAGAGGTTAATTTAAAATGTAAGAGTTAGCTAGTAATCAGCCTGAGCTATTGTCCGAGCATTTATAATTAATAACAAGTCTCTGAATGGTTATTTGAGAGCAGCTGCTGAGACAGAGAAATTCCATATATATATATGATTATGAATATGAGAGCTCCTACGACAGCTGTACTAGACCAGACAGAAGTGGTTTAAATGGCCCGTCCACCCATGTCTGTTCCTGGGATGTCTGTTTGTTTGCAGACGCTAGAGCATCAGGACATGCTGGGATTTCGAGCCACATCAACCACTGTGATTTGATGACTGACAGCTGGAGCTGCTGGCCAGCACCTGGGCTCCTCAGACATAGACAACAGGACAAAGGGGAATTGCATGTTTCCTTGATTTTCATGGGAAAACAGGGTTTGACAGTCCAGGGCAAGAAGGTATGCCAGGAAGGCAGGGGCTCCCTAAAGTGGTTCCTGGTAATCTTCACACCCAGTGGAAAGGTTTTAGCAACCACATACAGAAACGAACAACGAAGGCTCAGAAATCCACCTCTGCATCATTTTATCATGCAAAGAACCCGGGAAGGAGAGGCACCAATGCGGTAGTAGAGGCAGACAGTATACTGCGATGTATGCATCCTCCCCCAGGTCTCCCGACCCCAGCCGAAGGCAGGCCTGTGCCTAAGAGGCAGCGGTAACAGCGGGGCGCTGACAGGGATCACAACACATACCTATTGAGCTCTCGGATGGCTCGGAGTCTTCGGATGTAGCGACGACAACTAGGCAGAATAGAGAGGTGGTGAGCGTGCAGGGTGAGAAAGAAACATTCGGTAGGGAATTTTGGCTCAGAAAACGGAGGCTGATCTCCATCTAGAAAAAAACAACAACATGAATTCTTAACTAAAATCAATTACAAGCCATATGGAAAAAGTTCCATTGTGAAGGAAAATCAGTTGAGAATACTTTCTGTGTGTAGGTATTTGTGGTGGAAGGACACAGTTTTGCATTGGCATCTGTGAAGTTGTCTTGTGACTTTCTACACCTTGTTTTTGAGACTGGGTATCTCACTGAACTTAGATATTACCAAATGACAAGCCTGACAGTCACTGACATACAAATCGTCTTGTCTCTTTCCACCCAGTGTTGGGGTGACAGATGTGTACAGATGTGTACCGCCACACCCAGCTTTAGTGGGAGCTTGGAAGCAGAGCACACACCCTCACGCTGGCATGGCAGCGCCTTGCTGACCAAGTGAGCCATTTCCCCAGCCCAGGAATTTATAGTTAGTGTTGTTTTTTGAGACAGGGTCTCTTTATGTAGCTCTGGCTGTCCTGGAGCTCTCTATGTAGACTAAGCTGTTCTTGAAATTACAGAGATCTGCCTGCTTCTGCCTCTCAGGTGCTGGGATTAAAAGCGTACACCACTATGGACGGCCTCCAAGAATATTTCTTAAATTACAAACCTATGGGACATTGTAAGAAAAACAAATTCCTATGTACTTTAAAGGCCCTGTTCCTATCTTAGCTGATTAAATGCTTACATAGATCAACCTTTTATGATATGTCTTCCTGATATATCCTATGAAATCACCTTCATTTTCCAAGATGTGTTTATTACTTCAATCTGAAAATAGTATTAAGCTATATTAATAAATTATAGCTTTCTTCCATGTTTGTGTTTTTGATCTTGCTAGGAAGAGGTATATACTTTGAACATCAACTTTGAGAGTATAGGCTGAAAGTAGAATCATAGAGAGAATGTCATTATATAGTAGGTTTTTTTTGTTGTTGTTGTTGTTTTGGTTTTCAAGATAGGTTTTCTCTGTTGTAACAGCCCTGGCTGTCCTGGAACTCACTCTGTAGACCAGGCTGGTCTGTAACTCACAGAGATCCGCCTGCCTCTGTCTCCCGAGAGCTGGGATTAAAGGTGTACGCCACCACTGCACAGCTATACGTACAGTAGTTTTTAATCAGCACATAGCTTGACTCATTCACAAGGTAGAGTTCATACTTCATTCATGTATATAGCACGTCACAGTCAGATCACTTCAAGCACTTATCATTTCTTTGTGTTGGGAACATTCCAATGCCCTCAAGAGCTTTTATGAATTATACACTGAGTCACTGCTGACCACAGCTGTCCTGCTGTGCTAGACAACATTAGGGACTATCTCCAAAGCAACTGGACCCCTTAATAGTTGCAGTGCTTCAAGGGCACAGTCTTGCTGCTTAGGAGACTAAGGCAGGAGGATTGCTTGAGTCCAAAAACTTGAAGCTAGCCTGGACAACACAGGGAATCCTCAAAACACTACCACCACCCAGTCAACTGCTCTCTCTATAACTATCCTCCTCTGTGTGCCTCCCCTACCCCTTCAACAGTATTTAATTATATGTCAGATACTGCCAGGATTCACTTCAGACCGAGGAAATGAATTCATTGAACAGCACCTCTTTCTTTTCTTGGTCTTGTAAGGCAGGATCTTGCTGTGTAGCCTACGCTGGCCTTGAACTTGTGATTCTCCTACCTCAGCCTCTTGAGTGCTGGGGTTATAAGCATGTGCCAAGTAAGACTGAGCACCAGGGAAGGTGCTTTTCTAGCAAATATCCATTTGATCATGGATAACATTGTCACTTCCACATAAATAGGAATTCATCTAATTCCACACATAATTTTAAAATATTAAAAACACCAAATTGGCTGGGCGGTAGTGGCGCACACCTTTAATCTCAGCACTTGGTAGGCAGAGGCAGGCGGATCTCTGTGAGTTCAAGGCCAGCCTGGTCTACAAAGCGAGTTCCAGGAAAGGTGCAAAGCTACACAGAGAAACCCTGTCTCGAAAAATAAATAAATAAACAAATAAATAAATAAACAAACAAACAAAAACCCCACCAAATTGGCATGGGGTTTTGATTTTTGTAATTACAAATATATTTTATGTTATCAAGTAGCAAGATTATTATCATCACACCTTAAAGTAGTCATATTTTCAACTGCCACAATACAACATAAAGCTATATAATAAAGCTGCTGTTATTGGTTCTCTCTTCTGTCTCCCACCCATTGTTCTATGTATCTGTGTTTAGTAATTCTCAGAAGAAATTTTACTGTGTTAACTTTAACTATGCACCTCCATCTCCCAGAGCCCAGCAGATGAAAGAGAGGTGACCTAGCAACAGACGCGTCACTCACAGAGCTCAGCCAGCCACTCATTCACATCCTCCATCGTTGCATTTATTCGTGTCTCATCATTCGGGAGAGTAATCCGACACTTTGGGTGGAATATGTAAGTGGGGTCGACTGTTTCTAACTTGATTTTTGTACTTAGCTGCTGCAGGACCCACAGGAGATTCAGCATAAAGCCATCTGTAGAGACCAATCGATCATCCGCCTGGGACAGAAGGCAAAAGCAATTCCAACAACTGTTATGTATAAAACTGGCACAAGTTTCTATGAAAGCAGAGGGGACATTCAAATGTGACCACTCCCTAAAGTCACTGACAGGCCACGCGGTGACCACAGCTAGCAGATGCCAGCCAAACGAGACGTCCCACCCATCCACCACCATGTCCTCACTGGCCTCTGCAGAACCCGAGTCTGCAGACACAATTCGTATTGAGAGAGGAACTGAAGGTCAGAGAATGTTAGTAAGCAGACAGAACACATGCAGCCTCCTTTCTTTTCCTTCTTTCTCAAGAACACTAGGACAGTCAGCTGAAACCCCACGTGACAGCTTCCCATGTAAATAGTGAACACAGCCCAGTGAGAGGAACTAAGAAGCCGGTTAGAGCTGAGCGGCCACCACACACTAGGAACTATTCTAATGCTTTACATATAGTAAGCCCACAGGTTAGCAGCCACTATTATCCCCATTTACCAAATGAAGAAACTGAGGCACGGAAAGAAACTGTCAGATGTGCCCAACTTACAGGCCAGTAGCAAATGGGGCCCAATATAAAACTGTAACCCACACAGAACACGATGAAATTCTGGATGGTCTCTTTGGACTGCACGGCTCTTGGGTGCCAAGTCACAGATGACAACACCAAGTGGTGACGTCAACAGACTGGACACAGCAGACAGTGTGAACATCACCAGAAGCCGCTGAGTTTCTGCTCTTCTCTAGACTTTCATTCTCTTGCTTCTGAGTACTTCTTATTAATAATAATCTGAAATTGTTAATTTCCCCACTCTTACCATGCACAATGGAATCCTTATGACCTTGAAGTACTTCTTCCGGACTGTTCCTGACCCTACTCCTTGTGATTTCCTTACCGACACCCTTCCCCTTCTGTAGTGGATTCTACCACAGTCCTCACTGATAGGCTCTGAGCAGACTCAAGCCCATGGCTTCTTTTTACCTGCCCATTCTCTCCCAGTCACAAAGCCCTATGTCCTGGTCTGGCAATAAAGCTGGCTCATTCCTGCTCATTCCTGCTCTAGTACCGGATATGGACCAAGAGGGTTCTTTTCTCAGCCTTGTCATGACCGGCTCCTCAGTCAAGGCCTGAATAAAATGTCAGCTCCTCAGAGGCCGCTGTGCTACCTGATCAAAATGCACTCCTGTCCCCTCCTCCCAGCACTCCACAAGCACCCCCAAACCCCTCACACTCCATCACGGACTCTTATTACCGTCTGGAATACTGTGCTTGTCCGTCTACTTCCTGCCAGAGAACTCGGGCTCCACACAGCGGGAGGCTTGCCTCTCTAGTTTCATGCTGTCTTCCTGATCCCCAGGACTGAGCCTGGGAGGTGCTGCATTAAGTCTGAGCAACTGAAAGCATATTGGGGACTCCTACCTGCATTTGGGCTTTCTTCATATTGGCATTGACAACGGCCGCCATGTAACTGAGGGCAGCTTCACGAGTTTCACCATTTAACAAAATACTGTGCAGTATCTTGAAAAGCTCTTGCTGAATTATTTTGAAAAAGAAAAAAAAAACCAATTAACTCCTTTTTTACTTTAAGAATAGCCTCCTGCTCCCCACCCCTTTCTTCTCCCACGTCCACTCCTTGTGGGGAACCCAAGACAGTCAACATTATGAAGTGTGTGTGACCAGGAGGACTTGGGGAGAATGCTGAGCAGCCCCAGTTTTAATAAACCAGCCTTTGCCGCTCCCCTTCTGTGACTAATATGGCTCGATTAGCAAGGCACTTCACTTTTACCGTTTAGGACAAAAGACATATTAAGTACATCAGTGACTCAGCCAAGGGTGCCTGCCACACGCTAACCGCTCCCGCTCATCCTCATGATTTCCAAGGCTACAGGCAAGATGGAGGGAAAGCATGACCACTAGACATCACTCCAGTCCCCAGTGACATTCTCAGGGAAACAGCATAGCTGGGCTTCAGTCATTACTCATGTCATATGTGGGGCTCTCTGGGAGACACCGGACAGGCACCCTTGAGGTGCTGAGCCTGGGCTTCATCTCTGTCCAGAAGCAGCAACAAGTGCTAACAGCGACAAGGGGGGCTCTATACGGAGCATCTTCTTTGCAAAGTATCTGACTTCTAGGACACAAATAACCTGGGCAGCACTGGATCTACGGGATGGGCCTTTCTCCTCTGGCTTCCCTTCTGAACACCTACCCGTCCCAGCTCCAGGTAATGCTGTAGGGACTGGCTGACGACACGGGTGTTCTCCAGGGTAACCGTGGGCCCTGAGAAGTATTTCTCAACCACCTTTGCCTGCAAGGAGAGGGGAAATATTCAATCAGCATACAGTGACCGTCTGGGAAGGGCTGGATGGGAGTCAAATGTGTACTCACATCATCCTCTGCAAAGACTGAGAAGCTAAAGAAGGCCCCTAAGTAGGAGAGTCTCTGCAGCTCCCGCCCAGAACCAGGGCTTAAGGACTTCGGCAACCACAGAGGCAAAGAGGCAACCTAGACACAACACAGAGGGACAGCAATCAGCTACACGGGGTTCTGGCCACCAAGCACTCCAAAACTACGAGGGACAAGTAAGTCAGGTTCCCTTTGATTTTTCTTTTTACCCCTGATAGAGGGTACTCTTCAGCTTCCACATTTTTATAAGAAACACTTTAAAGATTTTATTCTTTCACAGTTGTGTGTGTGTGTGTGTGTGTGTGTGTGTGTAGTTTGATGTATTTCTCCCCGTTGTCCTTTTTTATCATCTTCTCCCTCCCAAACCCTTTCTTCCCACGGAACTGCTACTATTCTCGTGTTTTCTGTGTAGCGTACTGCACCTAAGTAAGGATTTTCACGTGAGCACAAGTGAGGTGTCATTTACTTCAGCAAGGTTTCCAGAGCAGTGGGTTGACTGAGGACTGTGACTCCCCCAAACCATTAGCTGCCTGTAATAGGTCAAGACACTCACAAGTGAAATGTAAAAGACCCACTCTGATGCTCCTCAAAGGAGCTACTCCCTTCCTACAGCACCTGCTCTTCCCCCAGAAATCAGATACAAGGCAACAACACTTCAGCATAGAAAACACATACAGACCAGCAATTGAACAGATGAGGGACGCCCCCAAATTCCAAATGTCTTTCAAGAGAAGTCTGTAGCTGACACTACTTTTAGAGTGGCCTCCACATGGTGACAGAGTCGGCATATGGCTCAACAGGCGACACTTACCAAACTGCACACAGGGTGTGTCTTCCCAAACTTGGTTTCACAGAGTTCACCTAGTGCCTAGAAGTAAGACAAGACAGAATCACTAGGATGTGTTCCGTTTCACACTGCTGCCGTGTGTGACAGCGAGGGACAGCTTTCGTTTCCACTATAAAGGCATGGAGATGCTCCTTATGAGGTCACCAGCCTTACCACTTTTCCTGCTGAGTAAATGAATACATGCGCCCTGCAAAACAAACAAAAAACCCAACCCTCTGCCTAGGCGACCTGGTGCACATCTTTAGCCCAGCACCCAAGAGGCAGAGGCAGGTTGATTTCTGTGAGCTGGAGGCTAGTCTGGTCTATGGAGTTCCAGGACAGCCAGAGCTACATAGTAAGACGCTGTCTCAAACAAATAAAACAAATACCTTTGTGAGAAGGGGAAAAACATGACAAAAATCCATTGTATGACAGAATATTTACATTTAAAAAAGCACTTAGATAAAGGAGAAATACAAAGCACAGCTAGAAATCACTCATACTTCACTTGCAGATAAAACGCCTTCTGATGTCCTTTCCAGAAGGTGTGCGCTTAGTTTTAAAAACTGAGTTTTTGCTTCATATCATTTCGTAACACAATACTTGTTGTATAGATCTCGTGTGGTAATTCTGCCAGCATTATCCAGGGCTTTACTCTGGACCCAAGAAGCTACTGGATGCAGAACACTTAAAAAGTGTGACATGGCTTCCGGACACGAGGCAGGTGCAGTAACTCTTCCTCAATGTTGTCCTCATTCTAGACCAGACGGTTATGATCATGAGTTTAGCCTCAGTCCAGCAAGGCACAATGAGTAGGAAATGAGTTTCTCTGTGACTTAGACAGAAGCTGTCTAACAGTCACTGAGCCTTGAACAGACCCACTGAAGTCATTGATCCAGAGAACTGCTGAGAAGTTTAACTTCTCACTGCATAGTGTGGATAGCCCATTAACACCACAGGGAAAGCCTAAGACAACCCCAACAGCAGGCAACACACCATCCACAAAAAACCCCAGGGGTTAGGGGGGTGGGGCTGGCAGCCAGATGACATCATTACCATTATTTACTGTTGCTGCTAGTGTGTGTGTGTGGGGGGGGGGGCGGTGGTAAGTGTGTAAGTGTGTGTTTCTCTCAGACAGGATTTTGCTATGTTACACCCAGGTTGGCCCAAACTCTCAATTCCCCTGCCTTAGCCTCCTAAGCACTGGGACTGCAGGCACATGGCACATGCCCTGTAGCATCAGCATAGAACACAATCCTCCAGTGATCACAGCATAGAACAACACAGTGCCCACCAACAATCCAGCTATTTCTGCACCAACCCAGCAGGCTTCCTCCTCCTGCCTCATTTCCCATCTCCTCACTCTTCTCCTCTCTGACCCCTACATCATCAACAACAGGTCCTAAATTAAATCACTTTCTACCACAAAGGATGCTTCTGTCGTTCACCAAGTTGTTGATATCTGTCACTAAATTCTCTTCATTGAAATACTAAACTTATCTAGATGGGGGCCAAGAAACCACTGAAAACCTCCAGCTGAAATAGCAGCAACCATCCATTCCTCGTCCCTCTCTGCCCTCGGAAACATGCTCAGATTTTTAGCTATCTACTTTCTTGGTTTGGTTTTCTTTTTTGAGACAGGATCTTACTATGTAACCCAGGCTTGTCTGGAAGTCACCATGAATTCCAGGCTGGTCTAAACTTGAAATGATCCTTCCACCCCAGCCTCTTGAGTGGTTCAAGCTTCTTTCTTTAGACAAGCTTTCCTGGACCCAGGGTAACCTCACACACTATGTAGAGGTAGCTGACCTGGAGCTCCCGATCCTCTGGCTTTGAATTCACAGTCCTGGGATCACAGTTGAACTAACTAGCTCACTTGGTAGCCAAGGCTGGCCTAGAATTCACTGAATAGCTATGGCTGGCCTTTAATTCATGATTAACTTTCCTGCCTCAGATTTCCAATGGCTGGGGTTACATGATCTACCATACTTGGCTAGGCCTCACATTTTCCTTCCAGCATTATTATGAACTTTCACCTTGTTAATGATATGATAGTTCTGATTTTTCTAAAAAAGACCTTTTGTCACTTCTTTGAGCATTTATCACAGTATAATTGTCAGGATATTTTGCTGTGATACAACTTTTACCATGAATTATGAACAGCCTAAGGCAGCAACAGTTCTTAACCTGTAAGCTGTGACCCCCCTTTGCAGGGTGGGGTGGGGTGACTGAACCTTTCACAGGAATTGCCTAAGACCATCAGAAAACACTATGATTCATAACTGTAGCAAAATTATAGTTATGAAGTAGCAACGAAATAGTTTTACACCTGGGGGTCAGCACAACATGAAGAACTGTGTTAAAGGGTCTCA